TTCCTTCCTTCCTTCCTTCCTTCCTTCCTTCCTTCCTTCCTTCCTTCCTTCCTTCCCCTGACCGTGATGAACTTAATTATTACTGCTATGGTTCCTTTCCTTATACTGTACTGACCTTTTCCTGTGTGAACATATGGTGCTATTTCTCCTCAATATATTCATTTTATGGAAAAGAACTCAAAGAAATTAGAATGATATGCCTTAGTTTACTGACACTGTAGATGCAGCATTTTGTTTGTTTTCATGAACAGAATACTCTCTTATATAAATAAACAAGCAGCATATGGAACTTGGGCTAAAACATCATCGCAACACAGATGTTCAAGTTGTTTCAAATCTGAAGCATCCTGATAGTCCATTTGGAGCTTTCCCTCTGAGTCACATTAAGTTTATTGATTTTACTTTTCTTAATATGGTTGTATACATTTTGTTTTTCTTAAAATAAACCTCTACTGTCTTAGTTAAGAATTTGAAAAGATATTCTTAGCACATATACTCTGTTAAAATATTCTACAAGCTGCATAATTTTATTTAGCTTGATTCAGTGTATTGTTCTCTTAGACAAATCGACTGAATTTATTCTTTATCATTTCCAGATACTGAACATGCATCTAAGACAGAGGTGAACAGAATTAATTTAATATAAATGGCCAATCACAACTAAGCTGGAAGGGCAATTTAATGTTGCAATTTTCTTATGCATTATGAATATTATAGTCGTAACATTTCATGGTGCTTGTGGGCATTCTGTCTGCTATTGAAGATAGAAGAGTCATCCTCTAGTTATATAATCCTCCACTGGGTCTGGCCTATGATGGGAATATAGCGGCTATACAGTAAAAGGATGTGGTTGAATTTTGTTGGGAATTTTTCTGGCACAATGGGGTTTCTTGGCTCTTTTCTTTCCGGGACATTCTCCTGCACTCTCCCAAATGCTGCTTCTGAGGGCCAATGGATGCTCTAGGGATTAAGCTCTGGGAACTGCAGCAGGAGAGAGACACTGCATGAATTTGGCTAGTAATCTTACATAAGAAGACATGTTTTTCTGCTCATGCCAAGGAACTCTGGACCCAGTCCATTGCATTTGAAGAAACTTTCAGGGAAAGTAAACTTACCTGAAATGTGGAAATACTGGTGATTTTTTTAGGTTCCATCTCTTTTCCTGTCCAAAGGGCCTCACCAGTTTCGCTTCTGTGGTGCAGAGTTTGGCATTTCTGTCAGATGGATCATGGAAGATGAAGGAATCTGGCCCAAACATGAGGTGTTTGACAGCAAAAGAACAAAGTAAAGGAAGCTTCACCTGTATTTCCTGGGAAGAGGAGCATAGTATTCTTTTTAACCCTTTTTAAATTGTTCTGTATGCTTTTACCCATAACAGAATAATAATAATAATAATAATAATAATAATAATAAATACTAGTAATACTAATAAAACTAGATTTTTTCCCCATCCTACCCAAAATGCTGACTGAAATGGAACTCTAAAATAAAAATCAAATATAAACTTATTAAGATATAAGGTAGTTTTAATTCTAAACCATAACTATCGGTCAGAGCTAATTTCATTAATGACAACTCCCAGTAAAGGAGAAACCTTGGTGCCACTAGATGTTAGTCAAGAACTTCCAAAATTAATTAAATTAAAAAAAACTAAATTAAAGTTTAAAATGGCAAAACAACACAGCAAAACTTTCAAAATCTCTGTGTTTTTATGCAAGATTTCATGAGAGTACAGCCATTTTAATTTATTCATCTTATAGAAGAGAATATCTGTAGCTCAGGGTTGAACTGTGGAGTCCTTGGTGCTCTCTGAGCTTGGTTGTTTCCTTGCAGACCTTTCATGGCCCAACTAGGTAACACCATCACTGTGTGGTAACATTGTTCCTCTCATTTTTCACTCCATGACACTCTATGAAATTGCATAATTGCCTTAAAAATGGCCATTTATGCCTCTCCAGATGATATTAAGATAGGATTTTGGGTAAATCTCTAAGGAAGAATGAGAATATATATCACATATCGCCAATATGGAATTTGTTTAAGAAGTGAAATGTATGGTGGAAATTGGGACTTGGCTTGGATCCTGTTTGTTTCCAATGTTGATCAATCAAAACTCATTACAACTAAAGCAAAACAAAGCTGGAATTAAATAAAATGTAATGCAACTGATGGCTAATTTGTTTCCATGGGCTGATTTTTTAAATTTCTAAAGTCAACATGAGTTGTTTTTTTCAAATGAACATTCACACATGGTCTAAAAGATAGTTTAACACATCTTTGCTTCAACTTTCCTCAGTCTAGTGTTCCCCAGATGTGTTACAGCTCCAGCTCCAGAATTCATACTTGTATATTGTGAGTCTCAAGCCATCTTGAGGATACCAGGGTTTGAAAGATTACTGTGATATAGCACAACTTTTCAAAATGGGTTCAAATAGAGAGCACTGCGTGCTGCACATTTGTTGATTTACTTATCGGATGAAATTGCCAAACAGGCTTCAAGATAGCAATAAGCAATTCTGGTGGAAGAAGATACAAACTGGGTTCACACATTGCACTACACCATGGTTTGTTGAATAAGATATTTGATTAACACATCACACTAAGTCATTAAACAGGATTATTGTTTGTTTTTAATGGAAGAAATCAAGATCCACGGGGCAAAGCTGCATAAATCAGCATCTGCCAGCAGAGAAGAAGAGGAAAATGCTTTTGAAAAGCTATTGCTTGTACAGTATGGGTGGCACACTGTGAAATCATCCTAGCAGAACTATTTATTCTTTTTCAGGTGCAGCACTCAGAAAATATCTAGTCCTAAGGCATTCAGAAGTGCAGACCTCAATGATAATACTTTCTCTACCAATCATGAAATTCCCAGTGTACCTTTGTCTCTTCATCTCCACTGACAATGATTGACTTCAGTAAACTTTTGCCTTCCAAATTTAATTTTAAAACAATAGTAATTGAATAATGAAAAAGTATGTTCTTTCGACTCATTTCCTATTTCCTGCCTCATGGCATTGCTGCAGGATCCAAAGATTTAAAAAATCCTGGTATTTATTAGGCTATTATTGTGCATCAATCTCACCAGGTTTTCTCAACAATAACTGGATTCAGTTGAAAATCTCCATAGGAGTAAGCAAGGTGTTATGATGATCATTAATGCAAAACTACTGGAAAGATATAGCAACTTCTTTCCAAGTTGTACAAGCTTGGGCCTCTGGACCAACGGACGCTTCCTAGTGTATCAGACAACTGACTGGAACCTTCCGGAACCTTCTCTACAAGCTTCTGTGATGTAGCATATAAGCATGATATATCCTTCTACAGTGCCTCAATAATTTTTTACTACCATGCAGATATGAACATACAACATAGATGTAGCTGCTGAAGTATATATTTTTAAAAACCTCTTGCTGTTGAAAAGCTACTTCTGTATCTGGTCTATCTTTCAGTGCCAATTTTCAGCTTACATTCCAGTTAGAGGCATCTAAGTATAAGCTACACATCTCTCGCAGCATGTCTGACAAGCCAATTATACAGTATATCTGCTTTACTCAGCTATATTCAGAATACTTTAAAAGGAGCCATCCTAACAACTTGTATTAGCTCATGGCCTTGCAAAACTGATGAGGAGCACATGAATGTCTGTTTGTAGAGTCTGAATAATACTGATTAATACCATCAGTATTAGTGATTGTACTACTAGGTGCTGTGAAAAAAAAAGGCTGGTAGGTTTTCCACGGTAAAATTCTGTATACTAAGCTCAAAGTACCTATCTGGAACTTTCCTCAGAATGAGAGAAATTTGAAAGCTATATGTTTGTTGAAGTTAGTAATGGGCTGGGTTTCTGCTTGTCTCCAATTGTTACAACCACAGGAACAACAGGTTGGAAAGCCCTAACAGCCAAATATTTCACTCTGAGAACCAAAAACTGACATCCTTAGATAATTATGAGGGCAAATTCATAAGTATCCATTTAGAATCCATGATGATGGAAAATATGTCATCATTGCGCAAATGAAGTGAAATGTATAATTTGTATCATTGGTGCAATGATGATATATTGTACATGACATCACTTGTTCTCACGGATAACCATTGATTTGTACTCTACCTTCCCCCTTTCAAGTTTCTAAACAAATATAAAGTTGTTTACAATCTCAGAAGGTCATGATTCCACATAGGTATCTTCTCTCTAGAACAAAGAATAGCATGTAGAAATAACTCTTTAAATCCTAACCCATTTGGCTTCATCAAGGTAGCAAAACACAACTCTTTCCTTGAAAGTAACATCCTTCCCACCAAACAGAGAAGCAGAGCAGAGAACATGATATCTAGAGTGAGAGGTATTCTGGAATACTTTTCCTCCATGCAAGCATTTTATTTTATTTTATCTTTAATTAACTAATTAATTAATTTTATTTTAAACCTAATGGCTACTTGGTAGGTGTATGCCAATGAATAAAGCTCAAAATATACTGGGGTTATAATGCTCCAAAGTATGACATTCCAAAATATGGTTTGCAATTGCATGACAAATAGAGGAAATTTGAAAGGTCACGTATGTTTCATCAATTGCATTTATAAAACAAGTGCTTCATAAACCATGATACAGTGATGCAATTGAAAAAGTGCCCTGCTGTTTCAGGTTGTTTTGTTCTTTTAAAGTCTGATAACACAGTAGAGCAGGTCTACTGGTTTTAATATATAGATTTGATAGGCCATAAGCCACAATATAATGCTATAAATATGGGAAAAGTGGGAACTCTTGTGGCTGTTTTAGATTTGTATTTAAAATCTGGTTATTGCATGCATGCTGTGCAGCTCTGTAGGAGTACAAGCGTGCAAAAATACAGATCAGCCTTGGATCCCTTCCTCAGCTTTGGTGGGACAAAATCTTGGATTCTAAGAGATTGGGGAGGGGTGGGGAATCTGCAATAGAGAAACAATGCATTTTGAAGACTCGGTATTTAAAAACATTAGCATATGTTTCGTGCAAAGCTCAATAGTCTGCATGTATTATATGTAATACGTTCAAGTACTACAATACTGTCAAGGTGTGTTACCATTTTTTATTGCTAGGTTTGTAAAAGATGTATGTCTTATGCTAAACAATTTTTTTTCTTTTTCATTCTCTGACAGCATCTCAGCATGTAGGGTAAATACTAATTATTCTGCCAATGTATTTTCATCACTGCAAACATAATGAATGTTTGTAAAATGCTTTGAAGCTGAAAAGAAGATGTAGATATGTTCAAGGCTGTACTTATTTCCTGAAAGCAGTTTGCTGCAGTTTGTAATGGACTCTGATCCATAAAACTAGAGAAAGAAGAATTTCTTAAATTCTGAACTTAGTACCATGTTTAAAGATTAATTCCATAGAACTCTTTTCAAGCAAACAAGTGGCTCCATTAAAAATGTGAACAGTAGGAGACTGGAATCATCTGTTGGTACGTCGATGGCCACTTCTGCATTTAGTTTCCGTCCTTCCTATAAAATATTCAAAATACAAAGGCTTGTATTTTGTATATATGGGGGACAGAACTGTGTGCATCATGTGACTTGCCCTGCATCATAGCCCTTCACAGCCCAACACAGCTTCCTGCCTCTTGTCCCACAAGGTGGAGGACAAAATGCCATTGTTAATTCCATTGTTAAATGAAGAGTACAGTAGATACATGATTGGTTATGATTGATTGGTCTGATTTCTTGATCTTGAAGAGTTGTTTCCACCAAGCTGTTAGTTTTTGTTTCATCTTCTGCAGGCTTTTGTTCAATGTTTGTCAGTATAAGTTGACTGTTGTACTTTCTAATATCTTCTTTCAATCACTTTCGAATAATCTTGTTTAGTTCAGCATATTCTACAGTATTTTTGGCTGGCTGTATATTATTCATGTTCTGCATCATTTGTTTATTTTTTTCTGACATTTTGCTTTTTCAACTGTGTTTTTTGGCACCAACAATTTCATTGGCTGTTGATGACAGAGCTTCACTTATATAGCAGGTGGCTTCAGCTAAGCTCTTGTTCAATTTGTTGAGTGCATTGAAATGAGTTGATAATTTCAGTAATTTCTAATCTCCTGTTTGATGCTGATTTTTAATATTGGGGTACACGTCAATGATCATGCTAACATTGAATCAGTTGAGAATTGAGCAGTCCATAAAAATGGAACAGTTATTGGACAAATAGAATCTATTTCACTGGTATTTTCATTTGGGTTTTTCCAAATCTATTTTTGGGCTGTACTTTTCTTGAAA